ATACCGCAAATATATATTCTTAAGGACATCAAAACCTAAAATAAAACTCCAGAAAGGTGTAAAATATGGGACCTTTAATATTGATCAATATGTTTATTTAATAAAGAATCATTATTCACATAGATACCATACCACATTAAGATATTAGATTCAGAAACTCCGTGTAAAGCATAAAATAACGTTTTTACTGATGGGACATGTGGTAAATAAATATAAGATTATGAAAATATACTTTTTGTTTATTGAGAATATGAAAGAGCTGTCACAGCAGAGCTTGTCTTGTGTGTAAAGTCCTGTGATGGCTCGCATTCAAGTGATGACAATGTGATAACATGCACACATTGGAGACCGTGTACATTTCATTCGTTTGTTTATGCTGCAGATACTATTTATTTCAGAATTGTGAGGCTGATGATGTATAAGTAGCTGCTGAGACAACCCGTGACCCTACTATTCCTACTTCATGTGCTGCCAGAAGTTATGAGGTGATGTGAATCTAGAAGTTTAATTTGGAACTGTAACTCTTTCAAAACAGTCATGTTGCAACCCATTCTTTTTGACAGTTTCAAAAGCTTTTTAAGTCATGCATTATTACTACATTTTTTGTTTTGTTTATAACAGGACCCCATAACTTTGTACATGTTCAAGGTGTAACGCTTTATGCATTGTTAAATGTTCTTGTTATTGTTCTGGTTTTATGGCAGAATTAAAACATTCAAAACAAGTCAGTTGTTACAGTTGCTGTATAAGATTTATTAATTTATTAAAGTTTTCTGAATACTTTGGGAATAAAATGTCCATGAAATGACCTGACCATGATTAATTGCAATGTGCCTGTAACATGAAATATGAATTGACAATTATGGAGTACAAACGTAGCACAGTTGAATATATGTCTCTCTTGTGTATTGTAATCTCAAAGATTTTTTCATCACAACTCAACATAAGATTAAACATTAACAATGGTTAATCACAGTAAAAAAAAAGTAAATGAATGTTGATTACATTAAGAAATGAATACATAAAGGTAAAAAACAGATAAAGATTAATGTGAATGAAGAGGTCTGTAACTGTCATCCAGATGTTGTGCAAAGTGTTTAAATCCTGAAAAAATCAAGGAAAACAATTAGTGTGTATTAATTGAACACTGCATCCTGTTGCACAAATGGTAAGTACAAACATCCCGTTGTTCATACACTGAGTTCTCGTGAGGTCTATTCATCACTATAAAGCTATGGTTATGAGGGCAGGGTCAGCGATAAGTGGGAGCTAGGCTGGACATTGGCCACCCAGCGTTGCGGAACAAAAACAGTGAAACGAGTAGAATTCCTTTCTTCATTTTGGCCAGACATTGCGGCTAACACAAGACAGCTGCATTTTTGGCAACACTATCTGCATTCATAGCAGCCGCTGGCTTACATTGTTCACGTTAGCGAGTGTCTAAACGACCGATTTTACTTCCAAGTTTTAAATAAACATGCAAAAATAAAACGATAAACCTTTACTTGGCTAGTTAACTGAAATAAAACGATCAACTGCACATACCTCTGCTGAATCTTAACTTGAACGGTGGTCTGGCGCTGATGACGTCAGCATCCAGCTAGGCACGCCCAGGACACGCCCACAGTGGGTTATGATTGGTCGACTGACAGGCTCAAATCTGATTGGCTAAAGAGTACGAGTGTCCCGCGTGGGAGGGGTTCGCTGCCAGGAAAGTCTCAAAAATACACACACAAATCCAAGCCGATTCACATTCACAGCCCATAATAAATTCGTGAATTTTAAACATTCAAAAATGTTTTGTACACAGTTGAACATCTGTGAATTGTGTTTTGCATTTGTGAAACTTATTTTATGAATATATATTCCTATTTTGTGCACGTGAATTGTTTTTTGTGAATATATATATTTTTTTTTTTCATGCACGTGAATTATTTCTCATGCATGTGAATTGGGTTACGCATGTGTGTGTTGCGTTAGGATGGCTATTTGTCGAGTTTTGTGTTAAAACAAGCAGGGTGAGACGAACGTAATGACATGCAACTTTTTTGTTCCAGCCTCTCACTCTCCCAATAGGAGGCAGTAGTTAACCATATCAGCACAGTGTGCATCGCGTCTTTTGCGTGAATTATTATTGAGATCATTCTGGCTCAAAATAGACACAGCTCTGGGTAGAAGAGCTGCTCTCTGATCTCTCCATGCTCTGATCACTCCTGTTATCATGAGTGTAAATGATTCCTGGATCAGAATGTCCTGATGAATGTCTGAACCAGTAGACACTGTATTCTCCTGCACAGATCTGACTGATGACTGAACACTGCAGGGTCACTGAATCTCCTGGATGAAGTCTGTCAGATACAGGTTGCTGGAGAACTGTGGTCCTTCTCGTTCCATCACTATCTAAAAGAAATGTAACATTCTGTAAATACATTAAAACAACACACACATATGCACAGACAGATTGAGGGGGAAGCTCAGAATATTGTCCTAAACTCACCTTTACGTAGAAGAATCGTCCCTTCTCCAAATGTAATAATGTTCAAGAAACTCACAGCACAATAGTAGGTTGCAGAATCATATTCTTCCAAGTGTATGATGGTCAAATTAAAAGAGCCAGTTCCACTTCTGATAAAGTATTGATTTTCCTTTTTAAAGCCATTTTGATATGTAACGCTGTCAGAGCCATGTTCTGAATATGCTATGAGAAGCGGTTTCTTTCCAAGAGAATGTTTATACCATGAAACAGTATTTATAAAGTCGTCTGAGTGAGAGCAGGGTATAATCACACTGCATCCAAGTTCAGCAACTAGCAACTGTTCCATCTAAAAAAATAAATAAAAAAAAAAGCAATATGGTAATAAACAGAAATAATTAACAAAATGGTCAATTAAAATACAATTTTAAACATACTTGCAAATGTAAGGAGAAAAAAGTTAAGACAAAATGCTGAACTTCATTTTGTAGCACCTGTACTTAATCTAAAAGAGAAATAAACACAAACGTATAGAGAAGTCTGGAACATGCAAATGTGTTTAAAGTATAAAATGAAATATTTTTAAATCACTAAAAATGGAAACATACTGACACTGTTAACATCCAAATCCAAGTATTTTACTAAGATAAAAAAAACCTCATTAAACTAATTTTGTTAATAAAAGAACACAATATAGCCTAAGAATAAAAAAATATATATTTTGCTATTATTAATTTTGTAAAGTTCTTGAATGTTTAAAGAGATTACTTACAATCTTACGATAAAGAGGCTAATTTGATATTAGTCCTGTAATAACGATTGATGCTCACAGAAATAAGAGATGACTGGTCGTTTTAGAAAAAGGGGCAGAACAAAATTTCCTTTATTCACTAGCAGAGCTGGTGACCAAACACAATCTATTATCAACAACAAAAATGATTTCCTTTACAATATAATACTTCTGTAGCACAAAGACATTGAATAAAAGTGAATATTTAATGAATATCTGGGGGCGGGG